AAGATTTCAACATTTACATAATCAAATAACTCAAATTCAAAAATATTGCTATAATATAAATTTTTTCATTAGAATAATTCCAAGATAAACTATCTTGTAAAGATGATTGAGTTCAATATGGCGTCAAAATAACATATAAAATAATAATTAAATTATATATTAAATTCCAAAAGAAGAAATAATCTACAGTAGATAAAAAAAGAGCTTACCTACTTTTGGTTTTTTATCAATGACTCCCGCCCTACAAAAATGAAAAGTTCAGTACGTATTTTATTTTAAATTTAATTTTTAAGTTATGAAAAGTTATTATAACTTTATAATAACTTTTCATGTAAGATAAGAAAAAAATTGAATCTAAAACTTGACTTTGAGTATTAAAAAATTGTATATAATTTAAAATAAATAGTATTTACATAGCATGGGCTGCTTTAATGGTTAATTTTACTTTTTCTCTTTCACTTGTTGTATGGTATTAAAGTGGTTTATAAGCATTATTTTATAAAAAAGCGTTGCGTTTTTAAAATTCAATGCTTTTTTTGCCTTTAAAAAAAATAAAATAGTTTACGTAAATGTATTATGTAAATATTTTTGACTAAGTTTCTGGATTTTTTTATAAAACTTACAAAAATGAGATGTTTCTCTTAAATAAAGACTTTCTGCTAAAATCTTAAATATTTTTTTCAAATATATTTAAAATAAAATTTTGGATATATAAGATATTTTAAGGATAATTTGAATTAATTAACATTTTTGACGCCTCATTAAAGTCGTTGCTGTCCGACTTAAAAAGGGATTTGCACCACAAACATAAACTTATCTCCCAATGTCGGACAATTTGTATATCTTTGAGCAGGCAACCATCCTGATTTTAATTCTAAACTAAGCTGGAAAGCTTACCAAATTAATTAAAGGAACTTTTTTTTTATTTTTAAAAATTTTAAAGATTCTTTTTGGTTTTTAGAAGAAGAAATGAAAATAATTGTTGCAAAGATTTATCCCATATTTCAATTAATCATCAATTTCATATTCAAGACAACGATGTGCCATAGCTAAAACAGTATATCCTCCTTGAGTAAAAGCATAATCTATACCATTAGATCTTGCAACAACAAATGGAATTTCGATTTCGTTTTATAATTTTGGTAAAATATATAATTTTAAAATATAATTATTTTTCGTGAACGCCGTGCTGGTCACGGCCACACTGCTGGGAGGGGTGACATTCGGTGCTCTGCTGCAAACGCCGTTCGGCGCCGCATTCGGGTACAATGGCCAGGCCGACGGCCTGGAGGCACGATAAAATTTTTGCAGGCATGCCCGTGCCCCCAGGCATGCCCGTATCAAAATACGTATATATCCGATATATACAAAGTATACATAAATTTAAGTACAGTACATGAGTATACATATAATAAATAACTATAATTAAAATATAATTAATATACAATTAATTATAATTAGTGTATACTGAACAATACTTTATAACTTATAGAACACAGCACAATATACTGTGAAATGATCTCCACATGCACTATACAACTACATCACATTCTAACTACTAAACCATTACACTAAAGAGTTTTCCACGTACACTTTATCCCTACACCAGAGTCTGAGGTGCTATTTCCAGACCAGATATTCGTAATATTCGTATATGCGTAAAAACGACGCATATACGAATATTCCGAAGTTACAGTATGATTAATACGTAAATACATACGGACATGCCCCATACACAAAATGCAAATGAGGCATGCCAACATGCCCTCGCCCGGGGGCATGCCTTTTTGGCTGTGCCTCCAACCCTACAGGCCGTGCGCTTCTTCTGGACCTACAATTGCATGTCCTTGTACTTCTCCAAGTACACAATCCTGTGCTGCCTGGGCCCGGTCACCACGCAGCGCATCACGGGAGGCACCACCAACACTTCCAGGTCTCTGCGCGTCTTCTATGCTCAGGTCCAGCTCGTCGTCCCCCGCATCTTCTGTGTCGTGTCCGGAGTGGGAGCCTTCGTCGGGGCGGGCTATGGCAAACTCACAGCGGACTCCCAGACCCTCATGCTGGTATCAACGATTTTGGGTGTTCTTGTCGTTCTTGTCCAGGCCACCACGTTTCACCAGGCGGTACCCGGATGTGAAAGTTGGGGTCTACGTGTATGTTGTTGTGGGCATGACAAAATATTCACTTGTTTCCTGACAAAGACTCGCCAGTTGTGGTTTATTCTCCTCAACTTCGTGAATCTCTGTGCTGCAGCAGGAACCGAATTCCAAATGCATGTGCAATAGCTTGTGTCCGAAGTTTGTTCGTTCGATCAGGTCGGAGGATGTATTCTAGAAGGTAATTTTCATATGGCATTCTTTCCTCGTTTTTTTTAAGCTCCGGCAAAGAATTTCTAGAATTCCCAGCTAAATTTTTAAACAAATGTGTTTTTGTGATACCCAAAACTCCAAGGAGAATGAGGATATATGAAATCAGAATAGTGAACAAAATTCTTAGAGTGCATGACAACTTGTAAAGTTATCATGGTAATGCCACCAAATGTACTGGTCAAGGCTAGCACGGCTCGGTTATATCAGATGGGGTTTTAGAGTTCAACCCCAATGTTTATGACACTACATAAATCGGATTTAATTAGGTTTAATTCAATTTTAATAAGGTGGGTACCACTACAAGTGGAAGTCTTTAATAGAGGCTTCCACTTGATGAAATCATTTTAGAGTCGTACACTTGTTAATAATTAAACCCACCAAATATCGGGTGTTATTGCATTAAACCATCAACCCTAGAGATTTTGCCAAGATTTATTGGCTTTATCCACCGTGGTGTGTGAAACCACAAGGTACCACTTATATATATTATTCATCTTCGTAAAACAAGCTAATGCTATAGATTATCGAACCGTTCCCTAGATGTAAATATAACAATCTTCATGTAAGGATCTATAAGAGACTCCAGTCTTCTCTCCCAAATCATTTTGGAAAGAGAATTCTTTTATCTCGTAAAAATTAAATTGATTATTGCAATTATTACTATTTACAAATATCCGACTATTATTAACTAGTATAAATCCAAAATCCATGGTATTCTAACCTACCACAAATGAGTTTGTGATGTTCTTTGATAAAATTATACCATGTAATGATCTTATCTTTGTACTTGATTTTAAGTTTGAATTTGATCTTAATTACACTTTTTACGTTTTTTTTATTGGGAGTAGCTTCAAAGATTAAACATAAATTCTTAAGATGAGGTATTTATAGAATACTTTCTATATATATTCTAAACATATACAAAGAGATGATCTCTTGTTCTCATCATTCAATCCATGGGATTGTTTATGTTTTATACTAATTACAACACATTTAGATTTTATCTAGAAAAATCATAAATATTTGATGTCATTTTCGACTAACGCATTTTTTTTAGTATGCCAAACACACAAAATTTTTATATGACAATTCTAAATTTATCGTTATAATAAAAGTTGATTTTCATCTCAAAAAAATTATACTTCAGTCTTACAAACTAAAGATAATTATAAACCTCATTTCTTTTGAGATGTCATTTCTTTATTACACATCTATCCAAACTTTTAAATTATCAAAGTTACATAAGCTAAATTTTAGATAGTTCTCAAATACATGATAGATTTTAACTAAATCAAATTTTATACTTTGAGCTATTCTTTATTTTGAAAAATTTTCCCCAAATTTTTTTTTATCTTAGTATCCTCATGATTAAATTATCAAATCAACGATATTGAAAATAGTTTTTTTTCTTGCAACACGTATTCCACATACTACACGTTCATAAGATTACTTACTCAATTATAGTGATTTAACTTTTCCAATTTATTTCCATATAAATACATTGGTCTCTTGATAAGATAGTTTCTTATGATCATATACAACCAAAGCAAATCAAACAAACACCATTGTGAAATACATTGATATGAGACATCTAATATCTGATAAAAGTATCGAGTTAATAAAGATTCAAGGTACATTTATTTTGAAAAATGATTTGAATCAATTTATTTCTTTGAAGATTTTTAGTAGAATTTACATAATTATATAGATGTTGCATGATATGCACAAATAAAACTTGTTAGTAATTTTTTGTCTCAGCTCTAGTTAAGTCAAAATATTTTTGAAGTAATCTACTCTCTACTAACAATCGTTAAATTGGAGATTGTTAGGACAAACCTTTGGTGGATTATCAGTATTGATATCATATGGTTAATGTTTACTTAATGTGGCAATCTAGATCTTGCCGCTTTAAACGTTATAAAATGTTCCCGTGATAATCTACATAAATATTCTCTCGTGTGATCTTGTGTATCCTGAAATCGGGAAATCCTGATATCATCTAATTTGATAAAATTTGCAAAGGGGCAAATTTGCCATTACGTGTGACAGACCATTCTATGTAATATTTCTCTTTTGAGTATTATAATAAATAGTGTACCTTCTTTCATTTTATCTTTGAAAAAAATTTACATCCAAAGATGTCACTTACCTGTAAACTATCACTATTCAAAGGCTATTATTCTCTGCAAAAAGTTCGGATCTGGGGGAAAAGCCTTCCAGATTCTGGCTCCCACTTGAGTAAAACAATGTCTAGAATCCAGACAAACAGACTCTGGATCCTATCTAGTCATTCCGAGCCAGATCGGTCTCCTTGACCAGAAGGACTGCACTATAGAACTAGACAGCACGATACGTGACGAGGATTGAGGAGTTCCCCCGGAAATCTTCCACCTCTCCAAGCTTTTGGGTAACGTGTGTTTTGGCTTGTATACAAATAACTCACAGTACTGCTGCTCTGATTTGGCTTTTAGCAAAATGTGAAGACACTTACATAGGTTCCCGTTTTCACTGTCTCTTGAGTTGTTGTTTATTATATTCAATACATGGTGCACTTTCTTTTCTAGATTCAAATCACATTACGTTGTGAGTTTCAAAAGATTCTCACGATCAGAATAATAGACTTTGAATATTGTTGGTTACAGGTAAGTGACATATTTGAATGTTAATTTTTCAAAGTTGTGTCGAAAGAATATACACTATATATATTAGAGTCCTCCAGATAGCCAGAGTCCAAATGGCCCAGTCTTAGAGCTTCGATAAAGGAGATGGCCTTGATGGAGGCCTCAGGCGGTGTTTCGACAGAGACAAGTCTCCCGACTAGTCTCTGTCGAAGGCTAGAGAGAGGCTGCCATCAGGAAGGCGACGTCGACAGCTTGTATCGACGGGACCAAGACGTCGCTGCTGCCGAGTAGCCTCGCCTTACCCAAGGTACTATCAAAAAATTGATATCAAAGATGTCTCTCTCGAAGAGGTGTCGTGAGTATTTCTGAAGCGTGTGTTGTTTTGACGCTGAGAAAAATTTGATTGTTCAATTCAAACATTGTGTCATATCGGAGCAAATTCCAGACAGAATGGGGCACAAAAATGTAGAAAGCCCCACAAACCGGTTGCTCGAAGGATCGCAACGAAGCTGCGATGAGGTGGCGATAAACGTTTCCTCCAAAACGAATTCGGAGCAAGTTGTGGGAACGAGCCTTAGGGACATACCTGCGGAGACGGGAGATGGCGCAGGTGCGAATGCGACCACCGGCACAGCACTGCATCTCGCAGCAGCCAAGGAGGACAAAGATCTAGTAGAAGGTATTCTTGATGGGACAAAAGGGCCAAAACTGAAGGTAGACGTGGCCGCATCCAAAGGCATCACGGCCTTGCATATTGCGGCTTATTTAGGCCATGGAAGCATCGTCACATTGTTGCTTGACTGGTATAGGAAAGATCCTGCTGCTGATGTTAATGCCCGAGATGAAGTGCTAGGCAGAACAGCTTTGCACTATGCAGTAGGAGGAGGGCACCAGACGGTAGTCGAGGAACTGATTAGATTTCCCCGTATCAACATTTGCCCAACAGACTCTTTTCACAACCTCACTCCTTTGCTGATGGAGGTAATGAAGCCCATGGCCCTCTGTGAGGGCGGCGTTCGCTGCTATGAAAAAAAGCAAATTTGCAATTCTGACTTGGTCAAGACATTAATAAATGCGCGGCCTGACCAAATCAACCTCGCAGTTGGTCCTGCCATTCCTCAGGATCAGCGGCTTCCTGATGGGCACATCCTCTTGCCCTGGCTGGACTGGTGCCCTATTAAATTATTCCGGAGCGACTTTGTTTTACAGATAGTCTCCGGCGAGCCTCGGAACGAACAGTCTGGGTTTTCCGAGGAATATGATGGAAGGACACACGAGCAAATACAGGAAGATATGATAGAAGCTGACAGAGAGAAGACCCAACAGAAGTCGAAGGCAGAGAGCACAAAACCAGCACATCCTGCAGCTCCTCCCAAGGAGAACAAGGACCGCTACCACAAGTACCTATGCTCGATGGAAGGGCACACGATTTTCCACCTCGCTGCCACACAAAACAACGCAAAGGTCCTCTCGCACCTCCTCTTCAATGGCCCGAGCGCAGCAGATGTGAACATCCTCACAGCCGATGGCAGCGGAATGACCCCTCTGCACTGCGCCATCAGAGCGGAATCCTTGGAGGCATTCGACGTCCTGATGTCCCATGGGAAAGTGGACGTGAACGCCGTCCTGAGAGCGGGACGCAAACTCGCGCGGCCAGATTGGACGGGGCTGACATTGACATCGTGGTCAAAGGATAAAACCGAACCATACCGATTCTACGAAAAGAGCCACGTGTCCGACACCCCTCTGCACCTCGCGATTCGCTGCTGCAACTCCTTGACGCTGCGAGAGATGGTCATGACGTTCTGCAACCATCCCGAGTTCCAGCCCAGCATCTACAACAAGTCCGGCGTCCTCCCGCTGGATCTGGCATGGCTCCGATCCTCGTGCAGCTTGCAATCCGGTTTGAGCTCGGTCCACCTGGAATCGGTCCTCGAGATGCTCGAGCGCCACCCGGGGAACGAGCCGTTGATGGCCGAGGTCAACGCCATGAAGACGGGGGCCCAGAACTCCGCGAACGCCGTGCTGGTCGCGGCCACGCTGCTCGGAGCGGTGACATTCGGTGCTCTGCTGCAGCCGCCGTTGGGCGCCACCTACGGGTACAAAAGCCGCCCCGTGCGCATCTTCTGGACCTACAATTGCATGTCCTTCTACTTCTCCATGTACACGATCCTGTGCTGCCTGGGCCTGGTCACCACGCAGCACACGCAGCGCATCACGGGCGGCACCAAGAGCCACATGTGCATTACTCAGGACGTCCACGACGCCCACGAGCAGGCCCAACTCTTTTCCAAGAGCCCCATGTCCATGTCTCTGCGCGTCTACTACGCCCAGGAGCAGGCCCAGATCGTCGTCCCCCTCATCTTCTGTGTCGTGTCCGGAGTGGGAGCCTTCGCCGCGGCTGGCTTTGGCAACCTGCCACCGGAGGCGAGGACCCTCATGCTGGTAACCACGATTTTGGGTCTTATTCTCGTTCTTATCGAGGCCCTTCGCAGCATCTTCAGCACGTTCCAGAGGTACCTGGATGTGAAAGTTGGGTTCATAACGCCATGGGATCCGGCATGGTATCTGGCTTACGGGATGTTGTGTGTGAGTCCGAAAGAACTAGTTACGATGCCGTTCAAAATAAAAGTGAGTTTTCATGTGATTCCTCTAGTACACAACGACTATGCCAGGAAGAGGAAATTAGCTCTTCTGGCTCTCTACGTTTATCTTTTTACGGTCATGACAATCCTTGCACTTGTTTTGTGAAGAAGACTCGCCAGTTCTGATTCATTCTCTTCAACTTCGTGAATCTTGCATCAGGAACCTAATTCCGAATGCATGTGACGAAGCTTGTGTCCCAAGTTTGTTGAGGAAATTACTTGTGCCAAAGCTTGTGTCCCAAGATTGAGTTAATCACTCGACGGGGATATAGACTCTGAAAGTGTGTACCTAATCTTATGAAAAGTTGTACTTCATCTTCTGAAAAGCTCTACCTGATTTAGAAAATTTTTCCTCATCAACTTGGTGAAGAAGTTGAGAGCTTGGGATCAGATGAAAAAGTTATGTAATAAAGACGTGATTCTGTAGAGATTGTGCTTATACACTCCGTGTTGCATAACATCCTTCAATCCAATTTGCGAGATGTTAGCGCATCGATGAAACTCTTGTGATTCTTTCCAAAATGTGTTTTGTGACGTCAATTGTTTAGATTCTTCATCATCTCCTCCAATAAACACACGGATGGTTCAGATTTGTTCAAAATAACTACCCGAGACATCTTCTTGCATATTGATGTCGTATCAATTTTGCCATCAGAGTTCTGCCCAAACAAACACAGTAGCTCAAGGAAACTATAGACATTCTTCAGTATAACCAACTGCAAGAATCTTTAAGTCCCCATTACAACATCTTTATCAAGGGTCTTAAAGCTACTTAAAGCCACTAACAAAAGGTTGAGAATTACCATGAGAGAAATAGTGACTAAAGTAAGAAAGAATTGAAAACATACCTCCTCCTCAATGCTACTCATCTTGATGCATTGCTATGAGCTCAGAATGCTTAAGGTCCAATGTCAAGACGTGAGATCGATGTGACAGAGCTCCACAAGACCATGGGTGGATAAAACCAATAAATCTTGGCGAGTTCAATCAGGTGGATGGTTTAATGCATAAAAACTTGATATTTGGTGGGTTTAATTATTGACACGTGGAAATCTTTGAAATGATTTCAGCAAGCGAAAGTGACACGTGAAAGTCTATAATATGGATTCACACTTGTCGTAGGACTCATATCATTAAAATCAAATTAAACCCCATTTATGTGGACTCGGGAATATCAAGTTAAACACTAAAACCTAATAAAACCCCACCTAATATAACCGCGCCGTGCCCGCCTTGCACAGAACAGATCTAATCCCATCAAGCAACATTGGATTTTATTGCTTTGGTTGACTTGAAACAATCAAAATTACCTGCACTATCGGTTAATATTAGAACATGAATGAACGTGTGACATTGATGGAGTTTCATCCAAGGCTGGCATGGCGTAGTGATTTCAAGTGAGGTTTAATTCGGTTTAAGTGTTTAACTCGATGTTTTTGATGCCACAAAAATAAGATTTTAGTCGGTTTAATTTGATTCTAATGAGATGGGTCCTACTACATATTGGATGAAGTTAATTCATGCGAGGTCCACGTGTCAATGATTAAACCTTCCCAAAATCGGAATTTAGTGCATTAAATCATCAACCCGATGGATTTTGCCAAGATATAATGGGTTTATCCACCCATGGTTCCATTAGGTCAAATCCAACTTGAAGTATAATAGCAAACAATTTGTGTTACGATGAATCCCATCAGTAATTATTTCCAAGTTTGTTTGGTCAATCAGATAAGAGAACGTGATACAATAGTTCATTTTCATATCGCAATGTTTAGCAGTTTTTCTTAAGATTTAGCAAAGAATTCCTAGAATTCCAATTAAATTTTGTAAACAATTGTGTGTTCATGATACCCAATACTTCAAGAAGATGTTGAAGTTAACTTTGATTAAGGAGTATACTCAGACTATAGCTATTTATAGTTAGGTGTGTCGATGGCTTTGGGTATAAATATACCCCCAAGACTTCTACAAGAATGTGCCTTTTTAGTATTCAGTGGTTAGTAAATTTACTCGAGTGTTTCACTTGAGTAAATTTAGCCGTGGACGTAGCCCTTGAGGGTGAACCACGTTATATGAGTGTCTCGTGCTTTTACTACTTGGCTTGAATGATTTCTCGTTTTACGTTGAAGAATTGGTATCAGAGCAAGGTTTTTTTTATTTGGAGTGTGTGTTGAAAGGTTGTGTTTTTTAGAGTCAAATCAACTGACGGATTTTCTATATCTGACAGATTTCTATCAGTGACGAGTTTTTCCTTTCTAGCAAATGTGACAGAAGTTGTCACAGTTTTTGTCAGCTACTTTGTTTTCGGAAGATTCTGCTTTTACCTTCATTTTATGACAGAATTTTGAAAGATTCAAACTATACTTTACTGACAAACTTACAGGTCCACAATTCTTCTTAGTTGCTTCAGATTTTACTTGCACTTCGTAGAGGTGACAGTTTTCTCAACATCAGAAGTTCTAGAGTCGACTGTGGTGTGAAGACGGTCTAGCAGGGGATGAGAAAGTGGCAAATACACTCCCTTACCAGAGACGGCACTTTGCAGAAAACGGTGGCCTCCTAAACGCGCCGGAAGACGAGCGGTGAAATGCAACTTAGCTCTTCTATCAACCCCCCTCCCGAGCGGCAGGGTCTCTTCCGGCCTCCTTTCGCAGGGCCGAAGCGGCTCTCCAGGCCAAAGCGGCCAACCAGCCCTCCTGAGCGGCGGCATTCTTCCCACCTCCTAAGGCGACCCCCACGTGTCATCTCCACGAGAGTTCCCTAAGGTGGTTGCATTTGAACGTAGTTATGATGTACCACAGTCACGGTTGACGTGGTAGCAATTTAGGAGTACGTGGTCAGGGCTAACGCAATCGTGGTTATGTTGAACGTGGTCAGTCAAACGTGGTTGAAGATTGATATTGAACCGTCCTCACGGTAATTGTCACGGGCGATGGTAGTTGCGGCTGACGTATATTATAATTGCGGGCGACAATTGGTCGTTGACGACGAGAATCGCGGGTGACGGATATTTCAATCGCGGGTGAGAGATATTTTCAAACCAATGCACATTACCGACATTGACTGGAGGGATTTACAAGAACAACAGTCTACATTGTGATGGATTATCTAGATCCTTTGGTTATGAAGCAAGTTGAGAAATATTTTGAGGTTACACAACTTTTTGATGCCCTACAAAGACGGTTTCATCATAAGTAAATATCACATGTGATGAACATTTACATGAGGCTATTGAACTTCAAGATGAGGCCGAGATCAAAAATGGAGATTTGTTGGAGATTGTTGATAGATCTTCAGAGTATAGGAGAGGAGCTTTTTGACATTAAGAAAGCTATGCATCTACTCCACTCATTGACTCCCTCCTACCATACACTGTCAAAGATTCTACTTCATCGTGATAAAAAGGTTGTAACTTACAACAAGGTTATAAGTGCTCTTCAGGCGGACGAAGTAGAAAAGGAGATGTTGTCATTCTTCCGTCCACTCACTTCAAGTACTGCATTCACTATGATCCGAGATCAGTTGCAACCTTCGGGTCTGGACAATTTGCAGCGTACAGGGTTCAAGCGGGTACACACTTTAGGTTTATACCTAACATGAGAAAGAACTTGATCTCTCTGTGTGTTAGACTTACACGGCTTAGAGTGGAGCTCTAGGTATGACGTGTTAGATGTCAAATCTTGTGATAAGAAGGTTATACTTAGGGGATACAAGCACAATAATCTGTACTTGTTAGAGGGCAACACAATTTGTGGAGAAATTAAATTTACCATATCTCACGTAGAGATGTCTCATTTATGGCATTCCAAACTAGGTCATATGAGTGATAGGTACTTGTCTATTCTTGATGAGAAAAAAGTGTTACTGGGTTTGGATTAAGTTGATTTCGCATTTTGTGAACACTACATCATGGAAAAACAGCATAGGCGAGCTTTTACGGTTGGAACTCATAATTCCATAAAGATACTAAAGTATGTATATAGTGACGTGTGAGGCCCATCTCCTACTGCTTCACTATCAAAAAAGCTCTACTATGTATCTTTTATAGATGATTATAGATGATGTTTGGCTATATTTTCTTATCCACAAGTCTAAGGTGTTTTCCACCTTCAAAACTTGGCGCATTCAAGCTGAGACTCAGACTGGCAAGAGAGTAAAATATTTACGATCCGATAATGACGACAAATATATTTCTAAGGAGGTTCAGAGGTATTGTAGAGAGAGGATTACAACAATTTACACTCTCCAACAAAACGCTTTTTATGAGAAAATCAACAGAACAGTGTTGGAGAAGGTGCAAAGTGTGCTAAGTGAATTCGGTTTACCATGAGAGTTTTGGGCTGAAGCCGTCAACACCGCATTTTATTTGATAAACCTCTCTTCTTCTACTGCAATCAATTTTTCCACGCCGTTCAAACTCAGGCATAAACGGGTGGCGTATTACAATTGCCTGCAGGTTTTTGGTTGTACTACTTATCCTCTTACACCAAAACAGCACATGACTAAGTTAGACCATACGTCCAAGAGATGTCATTTTCTTGGATATGCTAGTGGAGTGAAAGGTTACATTCTATGGAATCCACTAGCCTGTAAGATGATTGTAAGTAGGGATGTTTCTTTCAATGAGCTTGGCTTATTGAAAGAGGGGGAGAATTCTAAGGCTCCTCATACTGAAAAGGGGAAATTTTCAATCACGGATGTCGTTGTGAGGGAGTTTGATCATTACATCACTAATGATCTATCACAAGAAGAAGCATTGATGCATCAAGAACATGAGTAACATGAGTGAGTTATCATTGATAAGCCTGTTGCAATAGTTTTAGACGATAGAATTCAACTGGAAACGTCTACTAAGAGATCGCATTGTGCTAGTAGGGCTCCGAAAAGGTTTGGTGTATGGGCAAATTCATCCATCCTCAAAAATTGTGACTTTGATGTCGAAGATGAAAATGGTATGGCGTTGATTTTGGAAGAAGGCAAACCTTCTTCATACAGAGAAGCTCAAGCTTCGGTCAACAAGCTTGAGTGAAATGCTGATATGGAGCGAGAGATGGAATCCCTGATTGACAATAAGACTTGAAAGCTGGTTGAGCCTCCTATAGATCAAACACTTATTGATTCCAAGTGGGTGTACAAGCTGAAGAACAATCCAGTAGAAGACAAGGCGAGAATCTTCAAAGCTAGGCTGGTGGCTAGAGGTTTAACACAAGAGAAGGGTGTGGGCTACAATAAAGTTTTCTCACTTGTAGCCAAGTATGCTATAATTTGTGTG